TTTCTTTCTCGAGAAGTCCCACGATTTTGACATCTTCATTGTTAATGAAGTTCATAAGACAGGATCCGACCTGTCCGCGATTCGCAAGAAGTTGTAGAAACGTTCCTGGCAAACGTATGTGCGCCCTGCGCTTCCTTCTCCTGGGGGTGGTACTCACGGGGGAGTTTTGATTGGTGTGCAGGCGCAGTTACACACACACACACGCCAGATTCATGGGAGCCCGAGGACGACCTGCTCCAGTGGTCTCGGGCTCGCAATGGACCAGTTGTATTCTACGTCTCCAGGGGATTGGTACTCTTATCTTGGTGGTCTACCTCTGGGACTCCATCGGGTACACTGGCAAAAATCGGGATAGCATATGTGAAATATTTACTTTCATCAGGCAGATGAATATGCCGTTCGTCCTTGGATGGGGACTTCGACATGACACCTGCTGCTATTCAGGACACTGGGCTCTTGCAGAGTTTCAATGCTGCGGTGGCGTGTGCCGATATACAATATACTAACAGGGATGGGGAATCCACTATCGACTATTTCATTATCCATAAGCATCTCTGGCCTGACGCTGAGGTCTCAGGAAAGCTTGAAGGGCCATGGGCGCCCTATGTTGCTATTCAATTGGAGCTGCCCAGGGCTGCCCTGACCAGGAAGGTTTGGGCATTGGGCCACTCGGCCCCTCTCCCTCGGCCCGCGGGACCAGCTCGGGAATGGAACTACTACCTTGCTAGAGCTACGTGCCAACTGGGATGGCTTCCCCACCCGCAGTATCCTGCGAATCACTCCCATCATCATCAGGCCCTTTCTGACATGCATGGCCAGTTACGTCGGGGAGTGGAGCTCCAGCAATAGGACATCGCAGTTGACGACGCGGAAGGCCACTTGGGCTTGCGCCCTACTTTTGGATGGCGCGACCTCCTGCAGGCCACGCCCAAGCACGGCAAGGCTGGATCGCTAGCTCATCAATGGGCGACCATAGGCATGCGGCTTCAGGAGAGGGACAGGAAACCCACCAAGAAAGCCCCCCAGGCCTAGATGGGCCCCACCTTGCTCGGCTTCAGGACACTATATCCAGGATCCGCCAGAGGCTTCCGGAACCCGATCTGACTCCTGAAGATGCCCGAGTCCTATCTGCTGCCCTAGAATGGCGGGGGTATGGCGACGACCGCGCGCAGGCTAACGCCCTCGCCATCATTGATCGCATCCAGCATAACTACCATTTGGAGGAACTCGAGCTGTCGAGGGACGGCTTCAACCAGTTTCTCTTGGATTCTTTGATGAAGGGGGAGGAGCTGTCCATGCCATTACCAAGGCCCCGTCGGACCCCACCAGAGCCCTACGACACCTACGTGGACCCACCAGGCAAAGTGGTCACCGATCCCTTCGAGGTTACGAACCACAAGCTGGAATTCTGGATGACTAGATGGGACCCCAAAGGGTGCAATCATGCGGCCCCTGTGGGGCCAATCTGGATGACCAAGATCCGAAGGAAGCTATGCAATCCTGGGATTGGGATTATTTCCCTTGGGACATCAAGAGGGTTTTTGAAGTTGCCTCCTGGTATTCCCCGTCGGCTGCCTCAGGAGGGGATGGCTGGCGGGTCAGGGATCTCTTGCTCTTGCCAGGTGAAGCGAGACCCATGCTGGTGGCATTTGTCAATAACATTTGTTTTTTACCAGCAGCTCCCTAGCCAGGTGT